AGAATGAAGTAATGAATTTGCAAAGAATTAAATTAATCCTTCGAACTTGACATGAAGAAAGACTATGAATTGAATCAAGTTAATTTAGGTGAGTTATTTATTCCATCTTTTTTTTATATTAATAAGCATCTTTACAATATAGACCTTGTACATTGGCTTTTAAAGATTTTTTTTGCACAGAAATAAGATATAAAGTTGAAACTTAAGAATAAATATTTTAACATAAAGTTTTTTTGGAATATAAAATAGCTTATAGTGGCATTAACAAAAACCACAATGGCATGTAGTAGATGCTAAGTTGTGATGACAATAGCAAAAATTAGGGTTGTAATAGCAACAATCTTAAATAAAAGAGAAATATATTTAAAAATTAACTTATAGAGTTTTTTTCTCTGATAGAACAATTCAATAAAAAATAATTTTAGTTCAAGAGCTTTTATATTTGTAAAAATTTTAAATAAAATATTAATATTATCTTAATTTAAAAAAGCTTAAAATTATAATGAAGATCCTTTAAAAATATATATATTTCTTAATTAGATAACAAGACAAAACATGTATAATACTACAATCTTAAAAGAAATAATTATTGCTTACTAAGCCTTAATAATGAATAATTGTGTAGTCTTCTTGTCTTGGTATAGAATAATATTAATGACTAAATGGATCTATAAATGATCTTTTTGAAAAAAAAAAATATCAAACTTTGTTGCTAATACTATTTAAAAAATCTTAGATTTTATCAAATTATAAAATATTTAGATTGTTTCTTGTGGAATTTGTCTTTAGAAGTGAAAATAATTTAGTAGATACCTATATTTTTTAAATAAAAGAAATAAATAATAATATATAAAAATAAGTGAAAGCTGATAGATTATATTAGATAGATAATATTTTTATTAAGAAGCTTTTAAAAACTTTTCCAAATACAAATGAACACTTTAATTATTTTTAAATACACTACATTTATCATATTATGTAAAAATCGGCCTAAAAATGCATAAGCATCTAATTGTGGAAAGATATCATCTTACCTTAAGGTTGGATTTATAATCCAAAAATAATGCCTAAAGGGTTTAGAAACATCTTTTTGGAAAACTTAAACAACCTAAGTAACCTTTTAATTATCCTAATTATCTCTTATCATTCTTTAAAAGTTCTAAAAAAATCTTAAAATACTCTTGTTAATCTTAAATAAATCTTAAATAATCCTGAACTATTCTAATTAAATTATAAAAAACTCTATTAAATTCTTTAGAAATCATAAAAATATCCAAAAAAAATCTTAAAGAAATCTTTAAAAATCATGAAGAAAAATTAAATAATCATTAATCAAACCTTAGTCCATCTCAAAAAAATATTATATAAATACTAATTAAATCTTAATCAAAAATTATATAAATCTCAAAAAATCTTAACTAAATTTTAATCAAATATTAAATACATCCTTAAAAATTTTAATAAAATCTTAAGTAGAGTCTATGATAGATTTAAAACCTTATTAATTATTAATCTTAATTCAAAAGTCTTATACTTTTGATCTACTAGCTCAAAATAAGCACACAAAATTTGAATAAAATTAAACTTATAGATAAAAAATACTCCTAATCCATTTGTGTGTTGGTTATTCTTCTTCTATAACCTTAATATTAACCTTCTAGAATCAATAGCTTCATTTTAAATTATTTATTTTTTCTTAAAATTTTCATGAGTATTAAAAATTAAATCAAATATTAGCACAAAAAACATCTAAATTGTAGAAATCCTTACTAATCTTCAAAATATATGTTTTGAAATTTTAATGTACTTGAATTTTAATTATTTTTGTTTGTATTGTTTAATTAAGCTCAATTTTCAAATAAATATTTAATACGACTATATAAAAAAATCCACGTTTATTACTTGAAGATCTACTACAAAACTCACACAATTCACTAAAATGTAACCTCTTTTTTATTCTACAAAAAACAAAGTCATCAAAATAACTCTAACTTTGCAAAGCTCTTACGAAGACATTATCTATTCAAATCCTTCAAAATTGATACATTAAAAAACCTCATTAAATTTTCTTACCAATTTTAATTTCTAATCAACAAAAAAAGCATCCATTTTTTTTATACTCATAGCTTTGTACATTAGGATCTAGTTTTAACTCTAGTTCACTACTAATCTTCTTTAAATATCAATCTAAGGTTTTTCTAAGTAATTTTTGTTAAATTATATACTCTACCTTCACTTAAGATGCCTATAATATTGTATTTGCCAACCTACTTTGATTTCTCTTGTTTATGGCCCTACAAAGAAAGAAAAAGCCTTTTTCATAAAAAAAAGCATTAGCATTGTATTGCCTCCACCACCTCTATAAATTTTATCTTTGTTTTTAAGGTAATTTCTACTATTATTTTAAATAAGCTCTTTTGTATTATAATCCTTATTTTATTTTTTATTTTATCTTGTAACCATGTTACAATACAATAATATGGCTATTAAAACTTGTGCCATAAGATTTCTAATATTGAAAAGTTGTATTGGCAATGATTATTAACTTGGTGCTTAAGCCACAAGTTTTATAGTCATTAGAAAGCTTCAAAAAGGACTTCTTGGTAGCATATATGTGTATATATATATATAAAAGCAAAGCCATCTTTAACCTTAGTAATACCTTCTTTATTCTAATCTTGTTTCAAGGCTCTTTAGCTTCTTTTTGTTTGGTAGTAGTCATTCTAGTTCTTTTCTATCTTATGTCTATAATTTTTTTGACAAATTCTTTTGAAGCAACTTACAACTTGGATACTTAGGCCATAAGATTTGTAGTCCTTAGAAAGCTTCTATAAGAATTTTTGGTAGTTAGTACATATGAACATCAAAATGAGTCTACTTTCCATCTTATTCATATCTTTTCTACATTTTAATTTGAATTCAAGAAATTGTAATATTTTAGTATTTAAAAATAATTATATCCATTTCTTCTTTGCTTGCTTTATTTTCTTTTCAATCAAAAATAATGTATAAGATTGTCGTTTCAATTTTTTTTCAAGATTAATATCTTTGACATTGTCTACCTCTTCCATTGTAATTTTATTTTCATTCTAAGAAACTTTATGTAAGCAAGAAATATTGAGTCCTTTCTACCTTTTATTTATCTTATATAAATCATAAAAGTTAAAATATCTTGCTATAATAAAAAATTTATGGTTGAATAAAAAAAAATTCTTCTTTAATATGTAAAAAAGTAAAAAAATATGTGGAAATTGCATGTAAATAGGTTTTAAAGAATAAAAGAGAGGTGGGATGAAAAATACAAATTTAAAATGCTATTTACATCACTAAAGCATTGGTATAGCATAGAAGTTTTAATTTTTTTGTAACAATCTATATATAAAAATTACATGGTTTAATATAAAATATTTGAAACAATTTAGTACAAAGATTTTATTTTTTTATACATATGGACTTATTATAGGCTAAATATAGAAATATTTATTATCCATATTTATTATTAGTAAATAGAAAATTATACCACAAACTCTAATAATATAAACTTGCTTTTATATTAGAAGCATTGTATGTGGTAAATTGTGGTAAAATAAAATTTGAAAGAATTATTTCTAATAGCACTAATAAATAGCTTTGGAAAAATATATAACTTATATTGGTAGAATGCCATCTAAAGGTTGTTTTCTTATCTTTGTTGTCTACATTGTATGTATATTTTATGGTTTATTAAATTTATTTCTGTATTATTTAAAATTAAGAATTTTTGTATTACCAAACCATTAATTTTTTAAATAAAATTACATTTATTCTTGTTTATGTTAATATTTGAGCATTCTTATTCATAGTAGTGGTAGAACTACCTTTGAATTGATTATAACTATAAGCACAATGTTTTTAGTAGCAATTTGATTTGATTTGGTTTTATTTCTTATTTGTTTCAAGAAGAGTTTTAAATATGGTAGTTGAAGACTGTAGCTACTAACTATTTTTCTAACCTATAAAAGAATGTTGTCTCTCCAATCTACTTTGCAATTATAAAGACCTTTTTTTGTATTATGATCAATCCATTCTTTCTGTGTTGGCCCTTTCAATTAGAAAGTTTTTTTGAAAGCAATAAAAAAAATACATATATTATATCTTTCAAAAAATATTCATATTTTTTTATATAATTTTTTTAACATAATGTTTAAAGAATTTTATACCATACAAGTAAGATATCAACTTGCTTATTTATTCTAATCAAAATATTTGTTAATATTTCTAATATATATATATATAATGAACTATAATGAAATGATTGTTATGGGAGTAACAAAAAGAAAATTTTAACTAAAATATGATTGAAATTTTCATAGAATTGAGGTGGCAATAACAAAAATTATGGTAGCATTTGTGGTATTATTAATAAATCTCTAAAAAAAATCACACTCTTCCATATATTCAGAATAAGATGCCTAAACTTACAAAAGCTTATTTTAAAACTAAAAAAACTTTTAGAATTAAATCTTTTCAAATGCACACATCTTTTAAATCTCCTTGATTGTGGTATCAAGAATTTTGAGAAATAGAATTGATATGCTCACTAACACTAGTAATAACACAATTGAAAATAACAATATTGAAGATGGCTTCAAGTAGATGTTGCCTACTTTGGTAAGATAATTCTGACTAGCAACGTAGTTCCACAAGCAACTACATTTTAGATGGTCATCCCTGAAGATTCTGCAATATGGTTGGATAAACTCCAACAGTGATTAGGGCAATCGGCATTGAGGACCAAGGACCCTTGACTACATGATTCAAGGGTCCAACACACTGATAACCTTCGTAATTGGGTACTTGACTTTGACCACCTTCACCACAGTTCAAAACTACTGCATACATAGTTTCTATACTATTATTGGGGTTGGAACAAGTAAAACACAAAACAGCACTCCCTGAGTCAAATTTCAAGTAAGGTCAGATTTTGAAAGGTTCAGTCTGAATTGTCCCGATGCACTTGCCGTGGAGCTTGCTGTGTCTGTTTTTCACCAATCTTGCTCTCTGGCCATCAATTTTTATCGCTGCCGGGACAACTGTATGGGAATCAAACAGAGAACGTGGCAACAGAGGGTGCTGATGAAGAGAGAGAGACAGCGCAGTTCATTCAATAATGCGGGTGGAGAATCTCCCATGGCCTCGTATCTCTATCTGCGTTAGTTTACCATTGCAAAAAAACCTAGAGTTCTTCATCAGGCTGCTCAAGACACGACTGTTATATTTTAGAAGTACGGAAGATCGTTCCACGTATGCTCATAAAGCTCCTGCCGGAAGCAAATAACTAAAAGTTTATTACTCTGTTAACTTCCAGTGACGCCGGAGTGACGAATTGAGAATAGTTCCCTTTCCCTGTCGGTAGCGAGTGCAGTTGATATTTATTTTCCCGAGTTATTTGACTCCTTGTTGAGCCTAGCTGGTGAGTTTGGCTGAGTTCTGGCGCTTGTTCGGACTACCGTTCGGAGGTGCTGTTGTGGAATTGGACAAGCTCTAATTATTTCCTGGTGTGGTGTGCGGTATCGGCATCTTATACATTGGTTCGCGGGGATTGGTCATGGCCATGATTATTTTGCCATGCTTTGGCTAGTTGTAACCTTGCGATGCATTGTGTTTGTGGTGGATGGGAGTGACTTGATCGGTGGAGCGTTGGTATTGTAATTCAGACGAGGCTTGCTCTGAGGCTTCCTCAACTTCGTTAGTCTCTAGAAGTAGCACACGCAGTTCGGATCGATTTTTTGTAGATCCATCAGCGAATCATAGCTTTCAGCATAGAGGATCAGTTTCTACAGCTACCCAGCCATCACTGTGAATTCTTCGTACGCAGAAGAACCATCTTTTGTACCGAATCATAGCTTTCAGCGTAGATGATCAGTTTGTGAATTCTTCGTGCGCAGATACTTTCGTGTTTTTTATCCTTTCTTGCTACTGAAGACTACCAAGATTGTGTTGCAGCTGTAGTCACTCTTGATTTGCCCAAGCTTGAGTGGTATCCATCCGAGAGATGCTGCCGAATGAAGAATTTTCTCCTCTCGATGATGTGTAGAAATGATTTTATCAGTGTCAACGTCACCAATAGTGAGTTTGATTGGTGCTGTATGGCCCGAAGCAAATCATCACATGAATCTTCTTTTTGAATGATAGGATTACTTGAACTGGCATTAAAAATCGTTTTTTAGCAAGACTGCTAGTTGAGTAAGACACTACTGACAACCATAGCGATGTCGAAGTCGAACTCTAGATCAGGAGAACGAGGAAGCTCATCGACATTCATCATCAGATGGTCGGTGTTCTTAGGGTTTTTATTGATCGCGATTTGGGTTTTCATTGCTCCAGCGCCAGTTTCGGAACAGCCCTTTAGCGCATATGTTCCCACGGAACTTGTCGATAAACTTTTGAACACGACGGCAAAGAAAGAGACTTCGAAAGAGAGCTTAACGATTCATGTTACCGGCGAGATCGAAGAGCATGCTGCGGGGGGAACTGCGGCAGGAGAGATGGAAGATACCCCTGGGCTGGATGAAACAGGTCTAATTCCTGACACCACACCAACGCAAGCGAAGTTGATTGAGGATAAAGAAGAAAGGAATCAGACAGATTTCGAGTTAAATACCGCGCAGTCAAAGGAAAAAAAGGTGGTTGGCTCGGAAACCTCAGTTGTAAAGACAAAAACTTCAACAGATTCCAAGGTTGTGGTGGAGGAGGATGGCAGTAGGATGAGGACTTGGAAGCTTTGCAAATTCGAAGATGCTCAGGATTTCATTCCTTGCCTGGACAATGAAGCAGCTGTCATTAAGTTAAAGTTTCGCAACCACTACGAGCACAGAGAGCGCCATTGTCCTTCCGAAGAGGATCTTCCCAAGTGCCTGCTACCATTGCCTACAGGCTACAAGGTTCCGATCAATTGGCCCACTAGCAGAGATCAAGTAAGCCCCAGTTCATTCTCTCAATGGGCTATGAAAGTGCTCTCTAAAGTCTAAGATCTAGGGTTCAGACAGACCCAGCTCATCTGCAGATTTTGTGCTCATTTGCAGATATGGTTGAGCAACGTTCCTCACACGCAATTGGTGTCCTACAAGGCGGATCAAAATTGGGTGAAGATATCGCCGAATCGGCAGAAGCTCGTATTCCCTGGTGGAGGCACCCAATTCAAGCTGGGGGCAAAGCACTATATTGACTTCCTTCAAATGGTAGAGCCTGAACTTGCGTGGGGCAAGCACACACGAGTAATTTTGGATGTGGGCTGCGGCGTTGCCAGCTTCGGTGGTTATTTGTTTGACGAGAATGTGCTGGCGATGTCCATAGCACCGAAGGACGAGCATGAAGCGCAGGTGCAAATGGCGCTTGAGAGAGGCATTCCGGCAGTTTCCGCTGTGATGGGCTCTCAGAGGCTGGTTTTCCCGAGCAACGTCTTTGATGCTGTGCACTGTGCCCGGTGCCGCGTTCCATGGTATATGGATGGTAAATTCAATCTCACTGGGGCACTCAAATTCCTAGATATCCAATCAAGCAAGCTTTGTATTAACGAACTGAAATCGTGGCAATTATTTCTATGGCAGATGGAATCCTTCTCCTAGAGTTGAACCGTGTTCTGAGACCGGGAGGATTCTTTCTGTGGTCGGCAACTCCCATTTATCTGAAGGACGATGATAATGCACGAATCTGGCGAGGTCTGCATCTACTTTCTGAATATTTAGGTCGCTTGTTTTACATGAACTAGATAGATTGTCCTTGTCATATTCCATTTCTGTTGAAGTCGCAGAATTGTTCCCTTTCAATTGACCGGTGACATTTATTTCATTATGACAGAAACGATCGCCGTGATAGAAAGAATGTCGTGGAAGTTGGTCGCTAAGAAGAATGACCCAATCACGAAGATCGGAGTTGCTGTATTCCAGAAGCCGAAAGACAATGATGCATACAATCTCCGGGAGTTTGATGCCACTCCACCGTTCTGTGCATCTGATGACAAGATCGATGCAGCTTGGTATGTATACCGATCTGCTCCTGCTGAGCTCGTTCAAATGTTTCAATTCAGCAACTTACACGACCCTCTCATTTGATAACCCTTCTGACGTGCATGTCTACAGCATTGAGTATTTTATTATTTTTCGTGAATCTTTAGGTACGTCCCACTGAAGGCTTGCATACACAAAATTCCGACCTCAGACGATGCACGGGCGAAAATCTGGCCGGCGGACTGGCCTATCCGTGTGGACTCAACACCCTCGTGGCTCAGCACCACCGAGACGGGCATCTACGGCAAGCCCCTCGCTGAAGACTATCAATCAGATTCAGACCATTGGAAGCGTATCATAGCGAAGTCCTACTTACAAGGAGTTGGCATTAAGTGGAACTCCATCCGCAACGTGATGGACATGAAGGCCGGCTACGGAGGGTATGCCTTCATTTCTTCACTTCTACCTTGGTTCTTTTTCGGCACACTCGGGGACAAATCTCATCTTCTTGGTAATTTTTTTTGGTTTACAGAGTGTGTACAGAAAGTTGCTGATTTGTTGATTTGCAATGTAAGATTCATTAACGATCTCATGAACTGTTTTGGGTGAGTATTGGTAACAGGTTTGCAGCCGCGCTTGTGTCACAACCCGTGTGGGTGATGAACATAATCCCTGTGACGGAGCCCGATACTCTTCCTATTATATACGACCGCGGCCTCATCGGAATGTACCACGATTGGTGCGAACCCCACAGCACATATCCCCGCTCCTATGATCTCATGCACGCCGACCATCTGTTCAGCTCTCTTTCGCAGAAGTAAGCCACTGTTTCCCACTCTCACCCATTACTTCACACTCTTGCATTGCCTCTTACTTTTCCTGCCTAAATGTCTCATTTCTTCGAAACTCGTCCCTTGACTCTTGAGATCCTTCTTCTCACTGTCTGACTGAAATTTCATGTGGTCGCGAAGGCAAGCTGCTGACGATTCGTATGTCTGTCTGTGAGCCCAGCTGCAGCACTGTTAATCTGGTACAGGAGATGGACCGCATTCTCCGTCCTGATGGCTGGGCCATCTTCCGCGACACAGTGGAAGTGCTACGCGGCATAGAAGACATTATCAAATCTCTTCACTGGGACATCGTCCTCTCATACATGCAGGATCAGCGGAATCTCCTTGTGACACAGAAGCGATTCTGGCGCCCCGAGATTGAATCCCCCAACTAGGAATGCGCACACAATTCTCTCAATGGACATGAAACTGGGCTCATGCTTGCAAAAGTCTAGTCTCAAAGCGAAACTGGGAACGGCAAAAAATTTCGTCACTGTACGCTGCGACATCTCCCGAATTCTAACCTCCAGTCCACTCGCACGTCAAGACTGCTCGTCGACGTCAAAGGTTTCTGTTTAGCGTGTCTAGTGGTACGGAGCTTACCTCGGGAATCAGCTCCCTTTGTGGATGGAAAATTTGAAGGATCCGATCGTGTAACACGTCTTGTGGAACCAACTGATCTCGGAATGCAAGAACATCAGATCGGAGATGGCTAGTTTCAACGTCCTTAAACCCAGTTCTCACTGTCACATTGTTTGCATGCATGCTCTGATCATTTAATCTTTCACGAATTCCAACTTGTTTGTACTTGTTCAAAACATTGCAAATCTGGAACCAGCCTTCTTAGATGAGGACTGATGGATTGAGGATTTAGTTGTGGAGACCATTGTTGTTGAATGGTCTCTGCAGCTTGTAGACTTATTGTTATGAACATCTATTCCAAGGATGTTCAGTGGACTGGGAAGCCGAGCAAGACATCAAATTGATGTTTTTGATATGTAGCGTCTTGGTGAAGAATCATATGAGATAATATATGAGCACTGCCATTTTGAGTAACTCAAAAATACCATGTGTTTATCATGTGACTTTGTTGCATTCAATGGTGTTGCTATCTCACCATTTAATAAACTTTGATGTCATAATGTTATGCAATAATTTTAAGATTATCAATGACAATATACTAATAAGGAAAGAAATACTTTCCTATTAATATTACTCATTGATGTTACTTTTTATTCTTTTTATTAGAACGTTATGATTTTTAGACATTACATTAGTATCTCATTTTTGTTTTGGTGCCAAATTCTATCATTAAAATATTTAAATGTTTAAAAAATTGAATAGTCAAGGAAGAGAAGAATAACTGTAGCAAAGATAGAATGTTGAAATTACTTGATAAAGATAAATATTTAATAAGATAAAATGTTTATTTTATATTTAAAATTGGTGAAGATTAAATAATTGAAATCAAATATTTGATATTAAATAGTTGAAATTTTTTAAACTATTTAATATTTAACTATTGTCATTTTTGTAACATAATTTATGATGTTACATTTATTACCCCTCAAATATGAACAAGGAGTGTGTCGAGCATGAGGCTGTGATGTGAAAGCGGTCTTAGTGTGAACAAGGAACTCCGTGAAGGGAGTTATTTTGTCTACCATAAGTGAGTGGGGCTTATGTGTGAACGGAGCCCGATAACACCGACAGGGCCCCTCACGGAAACTCTGTCCATCCAGTGGTTCATATTTTTGAGGTGTAACACTAATTTGAAATGGTGTTAACAATCTCAGCCAATCAGTGATTTTTTTAGACAGACACATCAAACACCATTTTTTTTATATAAGTTCATAGGATTTTTTATTATTATTATTTTATTTTTTAAAACGATATTTCTTTAATTATCATTTTAATATTTTAAATTTTGGTGATAGGAGTATCTTTTTAATATTAAAAAGATCATAATTTTATACAAGAATTTTAATTTAAGGGATTTTGAATTTTTTTATATTCTATATTTTATATAATAATATATATATATATTTAATTTTTTTAATTTAAAAAATTAAGAGACAATAACAAATTGAATTTTTTTACAAAAGTAAGTTGGTTGTTAGAACTTGACTCAAATAAAAAGATTTTATTAAAATTTACTAAATTTTGTATTTTAACATTTTATATTATATAAATTTTTAATTTTAATTTATTTTTTATAAAATATTTTTTCAATACTAAACCCTTTGAAATACAACTAATAAAAGTGTGTTATTATTATTAATAGGAATAATAAATTATAAATATTAATATATTTAATAAATGCATGTTTTTTTAATAAAAATTAATTCTATACATTTAAATAAAATTATTTTATTATAGTGTTTTAGTGTACAGTAAAAGTGAATAAATATATTTTTGATAGTTTATAAAGAGATAAGTACCTATAAAATTCATATTTATATCTTAAAATAGAAATATATATATATATATATATATATATATATATATATATATGTTTGTATGTATATATATATATCTAATAAATTATAACAACACCTGATAAGAAACTATTGTAAATAAAAAAATATACATTGATGATTAGAATTTTTTTATAATAATTATTAAATGTATAAAATTTATATTTTGGTTTTATTAAGTATTATTCAAGTGAACTAGACCAAAGTATTAAGAGTAAACATGTGATAAAAGATAAAAAGAGAGGATTATAGCTATAGATTTTTATTTTACATATTTAAATTTAAATTCTAAAATATTATAGAATATCTTTAAAATAATTTTTACATATATGTATATTAAAATAGTCACAGTTTTATATTTTTATATTTTTTTTCTTATAAATTTTTAAATCAATACTACTTTGTTGTACTATTACTAATTTTTATAATGCTTTCTTTCCAACAAGTTTAATGGAGTATTTTTTGTTGATTCTATAGTATTTCTTTTGAGAATCATTTAAAATTAAGTATATTTATTTGTGCTAAATTTATATTACAAAAAAATTATTTACTTTTCAAATAAAATATGTAGATTCAAAATACTTTTAAGGTACTTTTAAGGTACTTGTAAATATATGGATACTTAGTTAATTAGTTCTGATTGTGCTTATCAAAATGCACAGTGAACTGGTCCATATTTTTTAAACAAAATATGATGATTCAATGTCTACTTAGTATTTAGTAATTGGAATTATATTCATTTTAATTTCTATTAGTCCATTTGATTTTGGTTAGGTTCCAGTTTGCCCATTCATTAAGTCAGTGGCAAAACAATGCTTGCAAATGCTTCAACCTACGACATTAACACCTTGATTCCAACCTCTAATCTTCTATTGATGTTATATATATATATATATATATATATTTATTTATTTGAATAATAAAATTTCTATATATATATATATATATATATGTATGTATTTGAATAATGAAATAAAATAAAATAAAATACAATATTACCAGTGTTTGGACCAGTTCATTGTGCATTCTGATTATCACTAGGGACACAAAAGGAAAGATTTAACCATTCTGTAGGCAGGTGATCAGAAAATTCTGAATGGTCGTTTACAATAGAACGGTCTGACGTGTAACTAATTTCAACACTAAAATGCTCGCTTCCAAGGCTATACAAATTCTGGGAAAACTTTGCCAGCATCAGTGCAGGTTTTTACGGATTTTAGCATCAGAATTTCTAGAATTCTGTTACGGCTTACTATCCACCTGCATCTCCTTCCGTTTGTATACTTCAGCCTGCAAATAACATCGCATGAATCTGGTTGTGAAGTTTTCCATTTTGACAAGCTCCTATAAGCTTCAGTTACAGATATCACTTACAATGGAGTTCTGAGGTTGATTCTGGAGTTGGACATTTCAGTTCGGGAGCACCCATCTGCTCAAATCATTCGGTATTCATCAGACTACATTGAAAATGGCTTCAAATTTTGGACACAAAGTACGTAGGTGTATTCGAACTACATTAAACTTGGAAGATCAACTGAAGGATTCATGCAGTTGAGAAAGTGCTTACTATTCTCGCATTATGTTACTGAAGGGTAAAGCTCCAGACAACGAACACAGACGGCTTAACATGTAAGTTGAGTAATAATTCTGGTTGCGGTGATCTACCTTGATGCAAATGTAGACGTAGTGCAAGTTAGTTAGTTGAAAGTCAAACAGAGGACCTAAATTCAGGTCTTTCTGAATAATGAAGGGTTCACTGATTTTCCTCGGTGGATCTGCTACGTGACTTTTAGATTTTGGTCTTGCTGCATCAACCAAGAATTGTGTGAAATTTCCCTGAAAAAGGAATCTGATGGTTGAGATAGGAGAACTTTCAATTGTTTTTCTTTGATATATTTCCTCTGCCAAGATATTAATGTTTAACGCATCACAAACCGTTTTACATACGTTTAACATGCACTTCGATTCTGCTTGGAGACGGAAAGCTTGTCTCCAAGTAAGGCAAACGACATTGTGGATCTCCGTAGGTTATCTGCATACTACCATAGATGTGAGCAAAATCGCATACATTACTGATCCGAGAGTTTGTGCAAAAGGGAGGGTTTTCATCGGAGGGTTCAAATGCTAGTACGGTTGCGGAGGCAACGAATTGTTTTGCGTTCATTCTGATGGCTCAGAATAATATTGACAGAGACCAACGTAATTGCATTTAAACATAACAGATGCACTACACCTATCTGCTAATACCAAAACGAAGGTAAATAAAAAATTATACATCTTCAATTGAACGTTACCAGAATATACTTCCCTCCTGGTTTCAAGACTCTGTATACAAATATTATGTGTATCAGATTCATCTTCGACCTCATGCTTGCAATGGAATATCCTCAAATACTGCAACTGATCACATCCCAGTCTGTTAAATGCTCAGTGTTAAGTTGTTCACGAAAAATATTGCTCCTCGACCTGTGAGTGGATGGACATCGATAGAATTAATGTTACGAATAGGAAGTGATAAGAGATTACAACCTGAGAACCTCTGAGAGCATAGTTGATACAGATGCTTGTCCACCAGCTCCACACTGCTACCATGCACGAACACCTTTTGAGTAACCCTCCCAATGATACTGAATGACCTAGACATTTCTTGAAGTAACGCATTACCAGTGGAAGTCTAAAATTATAGTATGTGCAGAGGAGAGAAAAAGCACTACTGAGGCTGATTAAAAGGGTTACATTTCATGTCAGCGTTCCATTCACAACATGAGAATTTGACAACAAGACCTGATTAGAATCAGGCCAAAAAAACTCACAACTTTCACGTCACAAGAGAAGTTGTGCAAGATAGAAATGCAGGACATTTCGGATACACCAATAAGAGCACACAAACGACAGAGATAGTCTTCAAAATGTAACAAAAAATTCTCTTACGTGCTGAAAGCTTCCATTGCGAAGCATAAAAATTAGAATAATCCTTACCATCAGATTGTCTAGCAAACCTGCAACACACAACCTTGCAAGTATCAATCGTCTTAACCTAACATGCAACGAGTGATTCAACTCATTTCCATCCACAAATGAAAAGAGGCATACGTATATTTTTCTTCTGGAAGGATGGAAGTCGGGACAGCCAAAACACATCCCAATAGGAGAATCACCTTTATCCAACACACAGCCAAATCTGCCTTCTTTAAATTCGCTCATGCATCGAACATCCATTCTCTTGTCTGTCTTCCAAGTCACATTCATGTCAGAAGATGCAGAAAGAATATCTTTCATTCCAAAATCTCAAAACATAAAGTGACGTTTCTGCATTTGTGTCCTTGTATTTTCATCGAGCGTTATATTTGTTCGCATCACATAAAACTAACAAAACACGATTAGGTCCCATCTTAGTAAGTTTGAAAAGGAAGCGGCATCAATGCTCGGATTAACGATTGGTTTTGCTACATCAATAATAATGCAGTGGCGATAGGACATCAAACACCCTGTCGATTGGCAGCAATGAGGCCAGCTAGCATTCAATGCAGATATTTCAGGTAATGAAGTTAAGGATTTACACGTAAGTTGCTTCACGTGCTTGTATTTTTTAGCCATGCATTGAATGATGACATCTGAGATATCTATATTCACGATCTTTTCGTAACCATCTTTCACCATTTCTTCGGAGAGGACTGCATTGACAATGCAGATGTCTCAGATGATAAGAAGATGACATCGATATGGATATCAACGAACACTCCATTCCCACGTTACGGACGACCTTCTCGGGTAATACAAAATTTAGTTCACTAAACTAGCGAAATCGAGAAGAGATGGTGGAAAAATTCTACACACGTGCGCTTCCGCAGCCAACCATCAAAACTCTATCCGATGGCTGCGAGTGCATCTTGATGACAGGAGCGATTCCTTCGTATTGTTGGTACCAATCGAAAGGCCCTGCATCTTGAGTATACCTACTATTCCAATAAGCTTCATCAAAATAGTTTTCAGTATTGTCTCGGATAGCCATTCTTGAAACACTGATTGCAAGCTTCGATGCGGAAACACGCAACCTGGTCGCCACAATGTCTGAACCGTTGCAGAGCAGAAGTTCTTAAGCGCGGGGCAAATGCCAACTACAGTTGAAAAATCTCTGTGGCCAGTTCCAATACGAAATGTCGGTGTTCTGACACCTCATGTGTTGCCGTCGCTTCGTACCGTCTATTCAATAAAAATAGTTGAATGGTTGAAGGGTCAGGTGCCAAAGGATGCAATGCAAGAGTAGGATATAGTATGCAACGATGACAGCACGGCTGTAAGAATCACACTATTGGGTTCGTAAATATGATCGCGGTATTCCATACTGAGGGGGCCGGTCCGTGAGAAGATAGAAGTAAAAAACGTTTCATAGATCTGAACAGTGGCACAAAACCTTCGCAACCATAATTCAAAATCCTGGAATACCCTAACAAACTAATGTACTCATGAAAAAAGTCACGAGACGCAGCTTTATGTTGTTAAGGAGGGAAACTCTGAATTGTATTCAAATACAACGAGCTCCAAAGTGTATTAAGATTCCAAGCGCGCCTATAAAAATCGCACCATAAATCAGTAGTCACGCACCTCGCAGCAAAACCCTCAAAGGCGGACAGCTGCAAGAGATTAACCCTCTACTTGATTTTCTTCTTGGGGCGAAGCTGGTTGCTGTGTCCACACTTCTTCTTACGGCAGTTGACAGCGCGAGGGTGGAGGCGAGCATAGCACCTACATGAATAGCGCAAAGGACACATTAACCATTTTGAGCTCATGACATGACTTGATGGCTGCAATACAAGAATGGAATCCCCGCAAACTATCAATTAGAGTATGAAACACTAGCCACCAAGAATGCTGGTTCTAAGAGTAGAGCAGCTTCGGTTCGAGAGTAAAAACCTATTCTCTGAGATAGAATACACCATAATCTACAACCACGATCGACATCTAGCCCTTCCAAAAACATACTCCTAAGTCCAGAGGAAGCGACTAAGCCATCACGGTAAAGAGGAAAACAACTACTTACTTCCTGCAAATCATCTTCTCTTGATTGTACTTCCTGGCCAAGGCCATGAGCGAGGGCTCGATGATGCCACCCCGAAGACGCAGCACCAAGTGCAACGTAGACTCCTTCTGGATGTTGTAGTCAGCCAGGGTGCGACCATCTTCGAGCTGCTTGCCGGCGAAAATCAGACGCTGTTGATCGGGAGGAATGCCCTCCTTGTCCTGAATTTTTGTTTTCACATTGTCGATAGTATCAGAGGACTCGACCTCAAGCGTGATGGTCTTGCCCGTCAGCGTCTTCACGAAGATCTGCATGGCTCCTGCGCTCCAAAAGTCCTCTTCCAAAACTCTCAGCACAGTCGAAGACCACAACAAATAGAAGCACCGTCAGTCGCGTTCGTTGCGATTTGCAACAGTCTTCCTCCACCTTCGAATTAGGGTTAGGGCTAGGGTTTCTCCCCTCATCGACCCTTCTCATGGGATTCTTGTTTCAGACCCACAGACACATCGTTGCACGAGTCGAAATTTAGGTGTGTTTTTTTTTAAAACAACGACAACGTAACTAACAAATCCTTCCCAACTAAAAATGCCGTTTGAACTACATGAAGATGTACGAAATAAGTTCAACAAGTATTGTTTTGAAATTAGTGGATTTTCTTCTTGGCAAACAAAGGATAGTGAATTTTTTTTATGGTATTGAAAATGATGGTGTAGTGTCTTCATGATGTATTTTGGTGTTTTATTTTGACTTGTTTAGAGGTGGCTTTAATAGGTGGAAGCAGAGAAACCCTTTCTACACATAATAGCCAAGCCATAATCTCCGTTGGCAACCAATACTCTTTAAAGACAAGAAAAATTCCAATTCAAGATTTAAAATACTAAGTTAGCTTTAATTTTGTTCTTACACCAAATCTACCACAGATTATTAATAGAGCTGCACAATGGAGAATTTGATTGCAAACAAAATCTCAAACTAATTTAAGCCATTTAAATCTATTAAAAAGATGTAAAAGAGATGTACTTCTTTCTCCCATATGGCTCATTAATATTGTGATCTAAATTGTACATTCAAAATCCAAATAACCTCTTACATCTCCTCTATTACCAACCCTTTGGATTCTAATATAGATTTGCAAGTTCTTAGAAAAGTAGCCTAGGTTGCTATGCACAACAGTATTTAAAAAATAAAAAAATAAAAACTTTGGTCTATCTTTCACTATACCTCTATCTACCCAAGTTGCTTAGCTATCACAAAGTTTCAATCTAAAAATTATTACAATCCCTTTCTACTCCTTTAAGCATAATTTTCTCCCAATAGTTGCTTACAATAACACCTTTTATGACCAATTTGTTTTTTGGCTAAAAATATTTTTAGAACCTATTTTAAGCTTTGTCTAATTTAAAGAATATATTGTATATATAAAAACGAGTTTGTTATATATTTCATCAATTTTATTATATAATTAGGTTTTTTAATGTTAGATGATTAATAATTCAAATAAAATCTTATAATTTTAGAAAGAGATGTTGAGACCTTATAGATGTCTTTTCCTTTACTAATTTAGTAAAAATATTTTAAGACAATTGTAGAGTTGTTGAACTTTTTTCTAATTACATTAGATAGATTTTACATTGCAATACAATCCATCTTCTTCTTTTATATATTTGAAAATAAAATAGAAAGTAATGCCTTCCTTTTTAAGCTACCTCATAATAAATCTTGATTCTATTTATTTATATCATGTGACCTCCTACTAACTAAAAAATAAGAGAACTGCTAGGTGAATACTCCTTGTGCTATGCATCTCCATGTACACACAATAAAACTCATATTTGTAATAAAAAGTCTTATAATGAGTTTATATTTAAAGATTTGTCTATAATGGCTTATGGCACTTTTTTTTTGATTAAATTATTTTAAATTTAATAATATACTTCATGAAGTTTTTTCATTTAATTTTAAAAACTTATTAATTTTATTCAAATAATCTTTTATTTTTTACTTATTCTAATTTTTTTTAGTGTAAATGAGAGTTTTAATGTATATATGTGGAGGTGTTTGGCATAGGAAGTGTCCATACAATAAAAGTGTCTACCAGTCAAATTTTAAAAATAGAATAAAATAAAATAGACATGTGTGTATATAGTAATATATTTGAATTACCTTAACAAATGTATGTAATAAAAATAGACTTATATACTAGCTCATTATAAGATGCCTATCATTTAGTGTTGGATAATAACATCTAATAAGTCTATGTCACGGACATACGCATGTAAGCCAATAATTACACGTATAAATAAGTAGAAATAAGTAAAAGTAGATAAAAGTAAGTTAATTCTATAACATTTGCTATGAAAGCTTCTTAGTATCTTCATAGACGCTGCTTTGACTTTATAAGTGTCTTTAATTGACTTTTTGGATTAGAAACGTTGTCAACAAGTTGGCCATGTGCCACACATGTTGTTAGCTTGAAGATCAAGCTAACTATGTGGCCCACACGTAGAAAAACTTGCCTTGTAAGTCAAGGCATGTGTCTTACAAAGTCAACACATATTAGAGGTCCTATAGAACATCGCCACGTAGCCCGTAGTTTTATAGTATATATAGAGACAAGAGTGAAGTCCTCTTCACTTTTTTCAACTCCTTTCTTGTTTCTAGTGTAGTTTCAAGGGTCTCTACTTTTCTTATCTTTTGGCAATAGTCATTCCAGTTTCTTTCTTAATATACATATTGAGTTATTTCTATTTTGTCATCTTTCTTTGAGAGAAGTCTAAGTTTTTTATTTGTCTTTATCAAGTTCTTCTCTTTGACAGATTGACAAGAATACACTTACAATATCAAAGCTTTGTCTAATCTTGATTAAGAGTGGATTATCTCTTTCTCTTAATAAGACATAACTATATTAAAAGTCACAGATTACTGTTGTTCTTGTTGTGTTCAAGCTTCAATATACCAAAGCAATTAAACTAATAGAGGTGGGTTCGAACATGCGAAAAGATTGATTATATGAATTGGGTCTGTTAGTATTACAATTGATTGTACTCTAGCTATCTGAAATCAATTATCAAACTACAAAATATCAAATCTTAGTACTTCCATCTTAATTCAACACATAATCCATTCTATGACTATCAATTCAACAATACTTTCATATTCTTATCAGTTCATCTCCCACTTACTCTCTTTCGATTGTTATATATTCAATTACTAATCTCCAACTTACTTATTATATTCAGTTTCTCAATTCATCACACAGAATTCAATATCTTCACTTAATACAACACAATTCGATAATCTCAATTCTCAAGGTCACAAATTTTCTCCAAAACGGTCAGTCCAAAGTCATATTCCATAATATTCTAATCACAATTTCAACAATACTTCTCTCAATCACAATTCTTCATAAGCAAATAAAAGCAAAGAAAACAAAGACGTAGCACCAAGCTTATCTCGGCTTATGACTCTCACAGTTTGGCCCTGATCACCCTTTTCTCAACCTCTTTATCCTACCCAAAAGATGGACCATCAACTAGCAGATTCTAAAGGTTATGACCATTTGAATTCTTAACCATTTGTTCCACTAACAACCTATTGTTACCAACTAAACTGCCTAACCATAAGTCTAATTTTTAAGGTTGTCAATAACCAACCAGTAACTTACGACAAAATTTATTTATCTATTCTATATAGCCCCACTCCTATCTATGCAGCATCTTTGCAAACATTATTTAGCCTCAACTTATAAAGACGTAGTTGCGTTAGCTTCTTCAGTCAATGACGTTGGCTTACCACCCTTTGAAATGCGACCTCCTCTTCTGCTACATCTTCATCATCTACCTCGGTGTTCGATGGTTTTCCATCCAAATGTGCCATCAAATCTTCATCCAACAAACTCAATTCTCGTACCTGAGACTCAAGACGGCAATTTGGTTGTCGCGCTCTTCCAACATCTCCTGCCATTTTTCTATCGATTTCAAAGGTATCTTCGAAGGTGTTGTTACTGAAACTGGTGTATTGGTCCACACTAAATTATTGGCCTCCTTCTCTAATGTAGCTAGTTTAGTCTGCAACATAGCATCTTCTACTTGCAGTCGCTCTTGCCGTTCCTAACAATCGGTCTCTATCCTTGCTTTCTCAGACACCATGTTCGCCATCTTCTCCTTTTTTGCCATCCACTTCTCTTTAACCACAAAAGAAAATACGATGTCTGTCAAGAGCCCCCCTCCTACTTCTTACTATGGTCCAATCAATTAGGTCGACTCCCTTTTTTGTAACACAAAATCTGTCCCAAGTTTATGTATAGTAAAGTTTAAGCCGATTGCCATTCATACGTGTAATAAATTTAGTACCCATAAAATCTTCAATTTGTATTGAACCATTTGGAAATCCGTCAATAACTCGATATGGCCCATGCCATTGAACTTGAAATTTTCTTGAAAATTTTTTAAATCGACTATAATAAAGAAGTATCAAAACATTTTGCCTAAAAGCCTTTGATCTAAGCTTACTATCATAATAAGTCATCCTTCATTTTTGTGTAGTTTCCATTATCATTAATACATTGGCTCTAGTTTCATCAAATTTTTCTAATTCTTCTAAATGGTGCGGTAATAAATCATGATGTCTTAATCTATTATCTATAGCAATTCGTAAACTTTGGACTTCCAATTCAATAGGTAATATTGCTTCTTGGCCATAAACCAATTGAAAAGGGATAGCATTGGTAGTAACTTTATATGTAGTACGGTATACATATAAAGCTGCGAACAATTTAGTGTCTGAATTCGTTCCCGCTCTTGAAACTGTTTTTGTTAAGATTTTACATAAAATTCCATTAGTCTTTTTCGTTTGTCCATTGGCTCTAGGATGATACAATGTAATCTTATGATGTTTTATCTCGTATTTAGCCATAAGTGCTTCGATTGTACTATTTATAAAATAAGTTCCTCAATCACTAACTGATTCTCGTGGACAACCGAACCATGTAATAATATTTTCATACAAAAAGGTTGCTACTGTACTTATACTATCGATTTTCGTAGATATGGCTTCAGTCCATTTTGTTACGTAATCCGTTGCTACTAATATATACTATTTTTGTCCATTTCTTGAGGTTGGTGCAATTGGTCCTACAAAATCAATTCCCTATTTTTCAAAAGGCGCTTGAGCCAGAATTGGTATCAATAGCATTGTTGAAGTTTTAGTAGGTCGATCCATTCTCTGACATGGATCACAATGACAGATGAATTGATAGGCATCTGTAAACATTATTGGCCACCAGTAACCAGCCTGTAAAGCTTTACGAGCCGTGTTGTCCCCTACAAAATATCTACCACAACTGTCCAAGTGGCAACCTTCTAATATAATACTCACTTCAGTCTGATAAATACAGCGTCGTAAAACTCCATCCTTGCCTTGTTTATATAAAGCTTCACCAATCATCATATA